AGCCTCTCTCCGCTTTGCATATGTGGTGCAGATAATAATTATAATTATCATAGTACGCGATACGTGCATGACGTTCGTTAATTCACCCGTTGAATGAACCGAGCATCTGGAAAAAGGATCTTGCACGCCGTGAAATTCAGCATTTATCTCTGTCTTCGTACGGGGATTATTAAACTACAATCAACGTTACGAATGTTAAAAATGTTGATTTGCGGAAACAGATTTTTTTTTTTCTTTGGATTTATTCAACACGTTGCCGCGATATCAGCCAAACGATACACATTCCTCGGTAATACAAAATTGCCCACCGGTCTAATTGCGATAATCGCGCGTTCCTATATTTCTCGCAGCGATATCAGTGCAGATCGTCCGGTCTGTACAAGCCGATCATCCGGCGCACGTGCAGATAAATCTCGCGCGTTAATAATTTGCGCGCACGCGAGGTAAACGCGCCAGGAATGATTTGCCTCTCGGCTCTGCGAGTGAGGGAAAATCCTCGATCGAGTCGTATTACCTGATCATCGGAAGATCTGAAGGAGAAGCGAAGCAACCGGTGCGGAAACTCTCTTTATACGCGAGAAAGACTTTTCCGTTTCGCAGCCCGTTAACTCGAGGAGTGAGGAGGTTTAGACGGAATCACTTCCACGTCGTTTTGGCAACCCGCCTTTTATTTCGCAGTTGCTTTTCCCCGACGAGATAAACAGATTGAGCAATTCATTTGAATATTCTGCGGGGAATATATGCAGCCGTTTGCGTGGGAACGCGAAACACGAAAAATTTCGTTTATCTCTACTCCGAGTACGAAAGCGAAATATTTTCTTTCGAAATAAAATATCTCGCTCTTGCGTTTTTGCAAAACTGAAACAAATATTAAAGCCCGCTTTTCGGATACTCTCTTTTTCTCAATGAGGAGGTATTAATAAATTCTACGTGAAAAAATTTTAAATACTAAATTTTACACAACTTCTCAAATAAATCGCGCGTATAAATATGTTAATTTTATCTTATACATAAATCACTTGCAACCATAATTTTTTTTTATCGAAAATCATGTGCAAGAACTTAATTGTATTTTGATACGTTTTTGCCATTCGCGTTTCTCAACCGAGAATGTTAAAACAAGACCACGAAGCAGCTCCTCATCTTCGCCAACGAATTTTCAGATAGCAACGAAGCGTGAAATTAGCGAGCCGTTCCATCAGCTCGTACCTCGTGTAAGCTAAATAGCCAGGTGTATGAGGCGGCTCCGCGCACGAGATATTCAATTGGATGAAGCGGAACGTAGAACAATTAAACGAGGCTAACGAGTATATTATTACCTTAATGAGCTCAGGATTCAAAGATGGGTTTTAATTATTTTGTATAAACAAAACCGATGAATATAGCTCGGACTTGGTGAATAAAATTCTCTCTCGCGCAAATGGAAAATATCGCTTTGAGGGTTCAACTTCGCGGACACTCCAAGTATAGACTACAGTCGTTATTACAATTCACACACACATACGCGCGAGAATCCCTTTTGAAAATAAATAGAACGCAATGAAGAAAATCCGGCCGTTAATGACTGCGCTGTAAACTGTAACCTTGCCGATTTCGGGATACTGCACGTGAAAATAACACAGTAAAAACTTAATCGTGAGGAGAGGATGCAACCACGACGTAGACCTCCATGCATCGACACGTGCGTCATTCGCGTAAAAACGCGGGTATCAGCGCGGAATCTCGGTGCTCCACATTGTCTGCTGACGACAACGTCACGAAATGTCGATCATGGCCGGTCATACTGTCGTTGAGTGTCTTGAGGCCTGTCGATCGATCGGTTTGCGGTTTTCCTGCGCAACGGGAAACGCCAAAGGCAACACATATCCTCCGGTCGACACGTCATTTGTAACAAGTTTCATAGCTCGCTATTCGCGACGCTTTGATGGTTGCTATGAGGAAGAAATCGTAATCGCTCTTCCCCACAATGCACACACACACACACACACACACACACACACACACACACATAGAGAGACAAAGTACGTGGAATTTATAGAGCTATGCGTTCCACTCGGGACACGCTATTGTACACTAAAGAGGAATTTATCGTAATTACGAAGCTCTAAAAGGGAAAGCAACTTGTTCCAAACTGACATTTCCTATCTCTTACGCATATATTGTCACATTATTCTTAAATATAGCGTCGAAATACATTCGAATCAATTAAATATAGAAACGTTAACATGATAACATATAGGTGCGAAAATGGAATAAAATTTAATTAAGGGAATTCGTACAAAAATGCGTGTCCTGTTTCAATTATTTCATTTGAGATATTTTAAATGATTTACTTCGATATCGTATGCACGTCGCGAATTTTATTTTGCCTACGTATATGTGTTAAAATATACATACCATAGCCGCGAAAATTAATGAAGCCTACCGCGGAATAACCGCAACATTATTAATTGGAGCGTTTGATTTTGATTAAAAACGACACTTCATAAGCAACGCTGTTCCGATTTACTTTATTTATGATAAACGTTTCCAACCGTGTCCAGCATTTCAGCGCGTACTTCCACACATTTAATATACTTTTTACCATTTCCCACACGTAACATTTCATCTGAAACGAACCGTTACGATGCTGTTTGATAATACAAGTGCTCGGTATGGTGAAAAAGAAGTCAGGTTTCTCGAATAAGCAATCATTGCAACTGCAGTTGTAATTAATCACATACATTATAAATAAATAAATGTATATACATATATGTATGTACAGCGTGTTCTGGAAATCGTAGTGCAATCGTGAAGAAGATGATTCCTAAAAAAATGAATGGAAAATATAGAATAAAATTTTTTCGTATAAAATTGTTTTCGATAAAATTTAATTCAAATATTCATTAAGTACACTTAACTAATCACAATTTTTTAAATTCATCCAATCTAACTATTCACGATATTTCTATATCGATCTGATTTTGTAACATTCATCGTGTATAATTGAAAAATTATTAAAAATGTGTTTATACGAAAAAATTTTATTCTATATATTTGATTTACTTTTATATGAGGAATCATCTCCTTTCCAGTTGTATCATAATTTCCAGAACATCCTCTATATTTAATGTATTTAGAGTAGCGAATGTATATTTAAATTACTGAATAATACAAGTTTTTATATAACCGTCACATACGTGCCGTTAATGCAGTCAAGCATACATTTTGAATGAGGCTTCGTAAGAGAGGCCGAAGTTTTAATGAAATTGTTCACACTGATGAAAGTAACGAGCATCATAAGGGTTCTCGTGTAATGTGCGTGCGTATAAAAAAATCTGAAACGCAGGCGTGTCGCGCACGTTTTTATTTTTTACTCTTCGTCAGTAATCTCATTGCGACAGCGTGATTAAAGTTCTTGTGGTTTAAAGTGTTACTTCAACCGGAATAATTGTAAAAACAGAACGCGATCCGTATAAAAGCACTCCTATGTGGTTTCACGCTTTAAAATTCTATTAGTTTTATTTAAATTATAATTTTTGTGATGATTTTGCGATTCAATGTACAATATGCCAACTTCCCTTACAATCTGAATCTAATTAATGATTCACAAGCATCGCGTATTTCAAAATACTGTAGAATTTGCAAGTATTGACGTATTTCAAAACACTACGGAAATCTAGAAATATCATTATTATAAATCGTTAACTGATATCGCGTCTATTCGTCTCTCGCATGTTCCAGTTATATCTCGCGTTTCACTGAGAATTATTTTCCATCGAACAGCCAAGTTGCCGCGTATCGGAATAAACTCAAAGCACTAATAAAAGTCACAAAGTCTCTTTTTAGGATGTATTTACGCCATATCGATTTGCAACAGGAAATTCTATCAGATTGAAACGCACCGATCGCGCACTGCGTGGTCAAAAGAGAATATTTGAGATTGCGAGTTTGAATGAGGTCCACTCTAGTCAAATGCGACTGTCGTCGACTGAAAATTGTGACGAATTCGTGATTACGTTATCAATAAGTCATAATAAAAGAAATTGTTTATTAATCATCAGTAATAGAGTTTATTTTTTTTTTATGTAGCTATTTTTATATTGTAATTTGCGTAATCAAAAGCCCTTCTGGAAACGTAGTTGTGATTAAGATATACGAGCTTTTTTTGCAACTTGATTTCTTAAGCTTATTGTAGTGAGATGTATTTAATTATTTCTCTTCGTAAAATGATCTCCTAGAGCAGTACAGTTACTTTCGAAAGACAGTCGCGAAAATTGAGCTTATCTCCCGCCACTCGCTTCATCTTCCATGATTTAAGGAGATGGAGCACTTGGCATTATCGCCCGATACCCATTATCTGATCGCGCGGCTAGCTTATTTCACTTCATTTGTCGATCTCCGTCGATGTCCCATTACGAGCCGCAAGCTCTCCATCCTGATGTCCGCCTATGGTCCACCGGATTTGAGAATCAACGACCCGTTTCGTGAGATACGGCGCCACGGCATTAGCGACCATTCGGACGTCCCGCCAACTAGTGAACTCTAATTTGCGGTCCCCGCTAATTGAGGGACGAACGCGAGACTGGCGTGATTGCACCGGCGGACAAATGAAGAGATTCTCGAATGCGACAGGACCTCGCGTTATCATGGTTCCAAAGTTGTAACCCAATAATAGTAACAACTCACGGTATTAGTAACTAAGTTATCAAGAGGAAATACAAGATTCTGACGTTCATTATATCTAGTTTTTGAGATATTTGAATAGGAATTTCTGAAACGAGTTTTTGTTTCAAATTCGCCTCGAAAGGTTCCGTCAACCATTATTGGGCCAGTAGTATCTACCAATATTGGATCCAAGTTATCACTTATTATTTAGCCTACTTGAACGGTGGCAACCAGTAATGCCCCAATACTGGATTGATTGTAAAACCCTGGGAATATATTTCCGACAATGTTATCTCATGTCCACATGATCTTTTATTTATGAAATAGAAACGTTATAGCGGTAGGATACTTGCCTGGCGTGACAAGAAGCGCGATGCCGAGGAGCAGAGCTCTTGTCGCCACTTCCACGATTCGTCGGAAGCCCCTGCGACACCACCGTAACCGATGCCTTTTTTCTTCGTCGTCCTCTTCCGCTTCATCGTTTTTACTCGCGTGTTCGAAAAGACCCAGACAAAGCCGCAGCTTCCGGTACACCGCACTGATCTCATCTGATTCGGGCATGCGTCGCTTCAGAATCTCCCCCCTTTTCTCAACCTCTTCGCTCTCCTGGCGCCTGTACGATCGCCGACAGCCTGTGCAGGTAGGCTGACCGGAAGCGAGGATCGCTTCGTGGTCAGTCCTCCTAAGTGAAAGTCGTTCTTTCACTATATAAACGATTTCACCTCAACCCTTATGTCTTATTTTATGTCTTATTTTATTAATTAAGAGTATTGTATTATATTTTTATGTATAAATAAAATTGTATTAGGTGTTGGAATTAATTCGTAGCGTTTTACAAGTGATGGGAAGTACTTTCATTAATGTATTTTTTAATGCTCATGTGAAATAAATAACATTCTTTCATTAAAAAACGCTACGAATTAATTCCAACACCTAATATATAAAGACAAAGCCTCCAAATGAAATAAAGCATTACAATAAAAAAGCCCCCATGAAAAGCCTGTGAAAGTTTTATTTTTCTTAACTCACGATTAAGTATTCAACCAAATAATTAAAGACATACGTTGATAATTTTTATCTTTAGACATTATATTCAGGACGTGACATCGCACTAATAAATTGTTTATCAATTTGATATCTCTTCTGTTTTAATGGATGCGTGATAATTAATACTAATTTGTTAATTTTAGACCAAAGGTGATTCTAATGAAGGATCGAAACGCCTGTGTTTTAATTAATACATATTCTTTTACACAATTTCCATTCAGTGTCTCACGAGCCTTTTTATTGTAATGATTTATTTTATATAGATCTTCTAGCACAGTTTTATAACTTCTCGTCACTTTTTTTCATCCATATGTAGAATGCCATTGATATTATTAATAAAAAGCTGAATTATATTATAAGTTTACTTTCTTTTTTTCACTTTGCACACGTTGCAAGCTATATTTAAAATAACTAATAGGAGAAATGTGCAAAGCAGACTTGACCGCTGAATAAATAGACCGAGCTTCCTCACCGCGACATCCGCTATCAGTTACCTGTCCTCGTAGTCGTCACACGCGGCGTTCTCCTCGGTAGCATGGTAGCTGTCGTGCCTTAGGGACCGCAGACCCTGCGAACAAGTTCCTCCGGTACACTGGAACTCGAGCCTTCGCCGGAGGTCCGTGGCTTGTAGCCCTCCTCCGCCCCCCATACCCCCGCTCCCATAGTACCTGCAGGTATAAACGGTCGACGTCCGCGTTATGGCTATAGCACACGCGGCAGTAACAATCATCAGCCGGTCTCCCCACGGAAGGTGAGCTATTGCCGGTAAATAACACGTCGCTCAATATGTCGCAAGCACAAGCTAAAAGTACCCGCGGCGAATAAGGAGTCGTCTTATAATAAACTATAACACGCTGCAAAAAGGAGTGGATAGGTCGCGAAATGACGGTAAATAACGATTGCGAATTTAATGCAACGTGTAGATTTGAATTTCGCGTTAAGCATCGCTGCTGATGATGAAAATTTTATCTCATACTTTTTAATTCTTTTTGTACATAAAAGGGGATTAACTTTCGAATAACTTTAATTTTACACACGTAAAAATATCTATTGCTACGAAAAATGATTACTCAATTTATTGTTTTCTTTTAAGTAACAATTATCTCTGACAAAAATATTTTCTTGATAATAATTTTAAAACATTTCTATCATAAATTTGGAAAATTCATGTATTTGAAACAAGAATTTATTTTCTTTTGAAGAATATCATAAAATTGATTGAAAAAGTGATTTTGATGTATAATAAACACACACAAATCGTAATTATTTTAACAATCTTAAAATATTAAATTTATTAGAATTCAGAATATATTTTGAATTTGATGTTCTTAAAATAATGACCTCAAAATCTTATGATAAACTTATGATTTATGAATAAATGAATTTCTAAAATATTTAAAACAAGTAATTATTATTTGCGTACAGTATATATTCTTTCTTTCAAAAGTTTTCGAATCGGTTTTGTATTTTAATTTGCGTGACGCAATGATTTCTCAATGAAGTTCTTGACAGTAAAAAAAACTCGCGTTAAGTGTATAAATATATTTAAATTAATAGAGATAAGTTGTATGTAAAAACTAAGAAGATAAGACAGTGGATTGTCTGAACATCCGTCTCTTTACGAAAACGAGTCTGAATAATCAACGCTTAGCGAGTTTTAGGCAAGGTTTGATTCACTTATCCGATTTTATCCCACTTTGTTGTCGTATTAACGTAAATGAAATCTACTCACCCCTGCCGCTCCGCCACCACTACCGCTGCCTGGATCGCACGCCCCCGATGCCGATTTTTACGAACCTCGCCACTTCCTCGCCGTTCTCGACAGGCACTTTAACCCCCGCAATGTGTCGCTCTCATCACCTGCAATATAAAGAAATACATTCATATAAAAAGATATGCAGACATATAAAGAAATACATTCGTCAGTAACACATTAACTGAGAAATCAATTTTACTCGTTTTGTTCGTTAAGAGAAATATCAAATATTATTAAAGATGTCCATATGATTATCCAAATATTCCTTATTAAAATGAAAAAATTATAGATTTTTCTACATTTGTGTGTGAAAGTAATACAAAAAGTTTGGTAGCGATATGGAACCTAAATCAAAAATTATTTCATCAATAAGAAGTATTTTTAAAAAATAATAAAAATAATAAAGATAAAGTGAGAAAAATTTCACTAATAAAATTGTATTGTTAAATTATATAAATATTGGCTTTATTAAACTACTTCATATGTATTCAGCATTCTTTTTTACAGTATATGAAAAGTATAAATTTCCAATTCCAGTGACTTTTTGTAGAAATTACGTACATAATACATTCTTAAATATTTCGTCGTAGTTTTATATTATATATTAATTTATTATTAATGATACATATATAAATATATTAATATACATGTATAATTGTATGTATCATTAATAATAGAATATTATTATACGTATAATAGAATCTATAATTATGCGCATAATAAACATATAATTCTTAAGGACCGCGCATTATTAATTGTCGCATGGGGATGAATCATTATTCCATACATTTGCGCGGTCGCCTATTATTCTGTGGTTATGGGTTATATCTTTGTACAATAACCATTAGCACACGTGTGGTCGCGTATCCATACATGTGTACGTACAGACGAATGAATCCTTTGGTAGATAGTTGAAATTCCGTATAGGCGAAACATGAATCGATTCGATTAGCAACATACGTGCTCAGATACAAGCCTGATTGATTCAATTTGGGTTCCGGCCTCCAGCAGTGCTTAGACAGAGGTAAATGCTCCGAAGATAGACTGATAATTATATCACGTTTGGAGGCTGTCACGTGACTTGGCAGAGGCAAAGATGGAGCAACGTTAAATAATCCGGGACACGAGAAATTAAATATTTCTAATTCTTGGAGCATGTAACGTGAGTTCCATAACTTAATCAACTGGTTCCAATTTAATGTCTTTTCAGTGCTATCACGGATGATTACTGCGCCATGTATTTTTACGCTATATATCAAATTTATATTCTACTCGGATAAAATTGATTGCTGAAACATCGAAATTTCAATGCTATATATTTTAATAATCGAAAAATATTTTGATAATTCGATGTAATTATATGTGCGACAACGCTGATTGTACAGGTAAATTCAATGGAATTGTAAATTAGCGGGGATTGCATTTGATGCTGCAGTGCTTAACTTCAATGCAGAAAGTAGTCGCGATTTAATGCAAATTATATTACGATATATGCGTACGATGTATTACGGTCACGGAATAATGGTGCGCACCGGCACCCCCCACGGATTATTTATCGTGCGTCAATACGCGAAGATTTTACTTCATTCGGAGCACGTTCATGTAATACTAACTCCGACGGGAATTACGACCATTCTGCTAATAAAACGGCTGTACTGCCGATATAGAGAGCAGGTGCATATTAGACACTCCCATTCGGTGATTCCGCCGAGTCCGTATTGAACGAACGATGAAACGAATTTCTTTTTATTCGAAATTATTAATGGAACAATTCTCAAAATGTTGGACTTCAAATATTACAGAGACTGAATTATTTAGGTATATGATAAAACTATTTTAATAAAAATATAAAAAAAAAAATTAATTAGATAATAGATAAAACGAAGAGCATTAATTTAATGTATTTCTTTAATAAATAACGGAATCTCCGCTGAAGAAGAAGCTGGAAAATTAATTTTTGCATTAAATGGATAAGTAATATAGTAGTGCTGCATAGTAATCTGCGGGCGAATGCCGCGATAAAGTTACATCGTAAGCTTACAGCGCTCTTATTTATGATCACCGTCGGCTACTAATGCTGCAACATCAATCAGGTGTTGTTATTCATTCAGTGCTGAGCCAGATGGAAGATTAGACGCTTGCACTTCCTTTAAGAATTCATACAATAGCAAGTGGAAGTTAAATTCCTTAACGCGTGTCATCGCAATTATTACCGATTTAATGATGTTCTCGCCGAACGTTGTTATTCACGCATTATAATTTGTGCGTAATATACATGCATATATTGCCATTTACAAAACTTCTGTACAACATGGTTTTTAATATCGCTTCACAAATAGCTAATTGTATGCTCATGCGAGCGTTATAATTTTGCTATTTTTGAATATCGCAGAGCGTTATAATGCTGGAATCGTATATTTTTGTATTACAAAAACAACGATTCGCGAGATAATTGCACAAGATAAATGTCGCAAGTATTTTCTGTCAGATTAAAGCGCGTCCAGAAATTGACTTTTCGAACGGACATTGGTTACCTTCTACTATCTCCGACTTTATAGCCGATATTATTTCCAGAGTAAAGTCACGTTTTACTATCTCGCGTCAAACTAACTCAGATGGCGGTGGGCTAGAGATTTCTACTTCATGACCGAGATTGAAGCAATGAAGACCGCGATTCCGAGTCAGTTTGCAGATTTAATTGTCGGCAGCTTGATCAGGAATATAAGGAATATTGCTTTTTCTGCAGATTCATCCTTAATTTTTAATTGTCCTGTTTCAATTTTTTTTTTATAGATGTTGACGTACTTTGGTTATTAATCCTAGAATTCTACCGCTACTGAGTACGCAATATTCCAATCGATACGTAAATTTAACGTATAAGGCTATAAATAGGCTATACTTTTAATTAATGTAACACAAGTTTTTTTATATATTTCATACTATAAATATTTATAATCTAGATTTTTGTAAACACAAATAATTATTATTAAAATTAATTATTAAAAGGAAAAAATAAGCATAAATTCAATCTTGAAATGATATAGAGTATGTAGTCTAATTTTGTGTGTGTGTGTGTGTGTGTGTCTTCTCATACACGCAAGCGAAATATATAATCTTGTGTAAATAAAATAGAACTGCTTAAAAATTAAAATCACTTATCATGCTCTCTGTTAGAATATTGACCATCAGAAGGTACAAACTGATATATAATGGACAAAATATTTAAAAACTTATCCTAGCTTTTAGCATGGCAGATAGAATTTCCACTGAAAACACAGCGAGCTTAACGAGCTCAATGACCTCGCTCACTAGTATGTAAAATTCACGTATCAAGCATTCTAGGATTAACAACTAGTACCATATATTTTATTGATCGGACAATAAGTCGAATGGAACAACTTGCTACGTGCGAGGGAATATTTATTGTCTTTCTCATAAATATGTATTTAAGCAGCTCGGAACAACCGCGATCGATTTAATAGCGCGGAATGACGAGTGACCTTTAGACTAGATTCCGCGATTGTACACTGGCTTGCAAGATGAAGTCATTTCGCAGTCGGAACTATTTCCAAGACGAGTATTCGAGCCAGCATGTAGATGGCGAGCGTACCTATATCTCGCGCAGTCATCACCTTAAAGAGAGGAATGTCGGAGTGAATGGTAGACGACCAGTTCTGATAGAAGGTGTTGGATTGCACTATTTGAACAATGGCACATGTCGCCCACGCAATTGCGACTAACTAAAGGGGCTGCGACACAGGCTGTCATAACTCGTCTTCATGTTCCTGGATTATTAGGGCCGAGCCGGTGGGACTGACCAATTTCTCTCTCTCTCTCCCTCTCTCACTCTGTCCCGCGTTATCCTTTTCCCACACAGGAAGCGATCTACTGTTTCACGAAGCCTTCCATATAACACCCATATTTGCTGGTGCCGTAAATCGAACCGACCGTGAGAGTTCGTGCATCGATGTGTCGACAGCTTAAATTTCAACGTAAGGTAAACGTAAGAAAATGGCTTCACGACATTGCGTCCGCTTCGGAAAAATATTTTCACGACGTGAGTTTTTATACTTTTACAACGTCGAGTTCATCACCTATATGCGCTGTCCCGAATATTCCCCGAGTCTTGGAAGTAATTCTGTGCGAAATGATTCTGTTTTGTAAGCCACGCGCCGGTAGAAATCTAATCAGAAAGATTACTCGTCATTCCGCACTAATAAATTTATTGTTCGTCCGAGTTTCCGACGAGAATCCCGATTCATGAAATGCGATACTGACATCGATCTTATTTACGAATTATAGATATCTCGTCACTTTCGAACATCGTTTACGGTAAATAATACGTGAGATCGATATCGACAGGATCGATTTGCTCGACGAGCGAGTTTCTTTTTGCCCGCAACGCAATCTGCCTTTGTGCTTCAAGGCTGGAGCGCAGACCTTTGCATAATACATAAAGCATAAAAAAAAATTAACCAATCAAAGTCTTTTATTTCATGGAGAGGAAGGAAATGAAGGATTTTAAATGGTTCATTTTCTTATGCGTTATGCAAGACTCTGTGCTTCCGTCCTTAATGCAATTCGTTACACTACTTCATCCGAAATGCGTTGTCATTTCCGAACAAAACGAAACAGTCGGCTAATTGGCTCGAGCAGGGTTATACGTCCCATGTGATTTCATTCATTATCGGTGTCTCGGTTGACGCGACCGGAAGCGACGAAAGTATTGATGCGCACTGGTGTGTGTATCGCGCGATTTTTCGGTCCCGTTTTGTATGTCCGTTGTCGACCGCGTTTCAACGTCGACATTTCATTGCATCTCGCGATACTGCGTACACATTTTCCGAGGTCAATACGCGGGACGAACGCGAGTGAATTACTCGTACGCGTATGCTAAATTGCCGAAAGTTTTCGGCCAATTTCACCGACGACGCGCTCGAACTTCTATCTGTACAGCTGGAACAACTATGCATGCATCCGGAAGTTTGACTGTAGATCTTTGTTGTTTGTTCCGTACGTACGTAGTGCGTATATGTCTGTAATACAATCATATATGCAGATTCGCTTTACATTTAATTCATTCGATGCGAAATTGCAAGCAATTCGTGATTTAAAAGCGCATAGCTCTCTTGAGATTATAAATATCACGTAAAACGACATGGAAATGTAGAAAAAATTTAATAAATTAACCGATAATATCACGTATTCATCGATATCACAAAGATAATGGCATAAAAACTCTTCTCTTTTCTCTCTCTCTCTCGTCATACGTTTAAAATGATAAAAATAGTTTCAACCGTGTGAATCGCGTTTGAAAAATTGTTACGCCGGATGTTCACGGCCAATTTCGTTGTGTGGCCGTTGAGCTGAACAATTCAATTTTGACGACGGTCTAAACGGATTCGATCAATTGCGAAATTCCTATGTTAATGCTTTTATTTCCCTAAAATACGTTCGGAACGAATATTTAAATTAAGATGAAATAAAAACACGCCGCCGATTTTAATCCCGCGGACACACCTCTGACCGTAACAAATTAAATTGATTATCATCCGCGTTAATTTTCGAAGAGAGTTTGTCATATACCGTGACAAACGACTGTGCTCTTTAAAAAGTTCCTTTACACGGTTGTCCAACTTCTGCGGATTGTCGTCTTTTGACGGGAAACGTATAACTTTCTAAATTGGCTTGGGCCAACTTCGTCATTGACCATTTTTGCGACTTCCTCGCCATCGGCTACTCTCGCATTGCATTTCGGAATCGCGACTTTTCTTCTTCCTTTTTTTTTTTGATCTTATTAACTTGGATAACTTTAATAGCAATCACGGAGACGTAATTTTCCCTAACGACCTACATATATGATAGACGACAGATTGATTTCGCTCAAAGGCACGATTTACCGAATGCATTGAGTATTTAATGAGCCGATGGTACGCATTCTGACATGGATAATTTCGCAAACGTTTGATAAATCTATATATCACTGTAATCAGCAACGGTACATTCCACAAACTTCTCGAAGATCTTCTTGGCTCCAGCATATATCCGCTGCAAGGCATTTAGGAATGATCTTGTGTACGCGTATGTATGTATATTTGGCACGGCCTGGAGGCTGTTCGGTTATACCACACTACGGTATGTCTATCCGTCGCGGAAT